GGCGGGGGCGGGGGCTTTGGGCGCGCAGCCGCGCACCAGCGGCGCGTCGCAGCTGGGCAGCGCGCAGCCGCGGCACAGGCGCGGCCAGGCGCACAGCGCGCACCAGCCGCCGCCGCCCGCCACCAGGCGCAGCGTGAAGGGGAACTCGTAGCCCAGGCTGTCGTCGCAGTCCGTGGCGTGGTTGGCGCGGCCGGGCTGGTCCTGGCCGGGCGGCCGCGCGCTCAGCAGGCGCGCCACCTGCGCCCACACGGCGGCGTGCAGCTCGCGGCCGCTCATGCCGTCGCGCAGCCCCACCAGCAGCGGCACGCCGAACAGCGCGGGCCGGCTGCGCTGCGCCGGCAGGAAGTACGCGTCGGCGCGGCACTGCTTGCTGCGACAGCGCCCCCGATCGTAAGCGCGCTCGACTCTCGGCAGTCGAGGTTAACTCGTGCCGGACCCGTACCGACTGAGCCACGGCACGAGCCAGTTCGTTATTCATAGTTCGTTACAATTACTCATTAGCGCAGTACCTTCGCGAAACATAATTGAATGCCAATTCAATAAAAATTTTAAGTACTCCATTCGTCAAAGTTTATTTCAAAATAGCCCGAGAATAATGATGGCTACCTTAATTTTTCAAACGTTATTATAACGTTAGAACCTTACGATCCGAGATACATGTAGATATTAAAGCGCCGAACAAAAATTTGAGCTTGGATTTTACTATAACGTGCCAAAATCTAGCAACCCGCTAAACGTCAGTTTACTACCTCTAATTAAGATAACATAAGATAAATTTATCTCAATATAACTTAATCTAATACAATACAAGTAAAACAAATGTAAATAAAGTCATTATACTATTAAAATGAACATTTTTTTTTTTTTTTTATATACCTGACAGGCAAATGACTCCACTCCACCTGATGTTAAGTGGAAAGTGGTATCCAAACGCGAAGGAACCTAGTGCAGCGATGGAATCCTCACTGCACTAGCCGCCTCCACCCTGCCTGCCTACAATATGCCTCTTCACGCCTCGTTTGAAGGACCCCATATCATAAGAGGGAGGGAAGACATGTGCCGGAAGGGAGTTCCATTTGTCAACCGTGCGGCAGAGAAAGGAGCCACCGAACCTTTTAGTACGCGATGGAATGCGGCAGGTAGTGAAACGGTGACTACGAAGGCCAGCACGCGTGCTTCTGAGCAGGAACGGGGAAGGGGGGATGAGGTTGAACAGCTCCTCAGAGCACTCACCATGGTACATGCGGTAAAAGGCGCTAAGCGATGCAACATCTCTACGCAGTTGCAGAGGTTCAAGGCGTGATGAGACCTCTTCGTCGCCTATAATTCGAGTTGCACGACGCTGTAATTTATCCAAGGCATCGAGTAGGTACTTGGCGGAGCCGTCCCACAAGTGCGAACAATACTCAACGCAAGACCGGACCTGTGTTTTGTACAGCAGGCATAACTGGTCCGGCGTGAAAAAACGTCGCACCTTGTTCAGGACTCCGAGTTTCCGTGAGGCTGTTTTGATCACAGATTCGATGTAGCTCCTTGGATTCAAATCACAGCAGATTTCCATACCGAGCAAGGTGAAACTGCTCTGAGGTGAAAGTGCTGTGCTCATCAGAGAAGGCATGGGAAGGAACGGCGACAATTTTGTTGTTAACGCGCAAACCTGTGTTTTCTTGGCGTTGAACTCAACAAGATTACTGGATCCCCATGCAGATATGAGGTCCAATATCCTATTGAGCTCAACGACAAGATCAGATCGCTCTCTGTCAGTATCGGCGCGCCCAGCTGCGGGGAATCCATGATATCCCCCATGAACAGTGCTATCATCTGCATAACAATGAATATTCCCAAGTGGAAGCATATCATTGATATGCAGAAGGAAAAGCGTGGGAGATAGGACGGATCCCTGCGGTACGCCGGCGTTCACATTCACGAACCTCGAAATGCTGCCGTCAGAAACGACGCGAATTCTCCGCTCACGAAGGAAATCGGCAATCCAGCTGCATAAGTGGGCTGGCAAACCGTACGCCGGGAGCTTGGAGAGAAGAGCTTTGTGCCAGACCCGATCGAACGCTTTGGCTATATCGAGGCTAACAGCCAACGATTCGCCACGTTTGTCTATAGCCTCACCCCAAATATGCGATAAGTACGCTAGAAGGTCACCCGTTGATCGTTTCGGACGAAACCCATACTGCCGATCATTAATTATGGAGTGATCTTCTAGGTATTGGGTCAGTTGTTTATTAAGGATCCGCTCTAAAACCTTGCATATTATGGAAGTAATGGCTATGGGACGGTAATTATGCGGGTCTGATCGGTCGCCTTTTTTGGGAACTGGTTGCACATTAGCCTCTCTCCAAGAGTCCGGCACACGACCTGAAGAGAGCGACAGACGATACAGTCGCGTTAGCACGGGAGTCAACTCAGCTGCGCAATTCCTAAGTACAATCGCTGGGATACCATCAGGACCACTAGCTTTCCGGACGTCGAGAGACTGCAGCTGCGTACGCACATCGCATTGTCCGATACGAATATCAGACATCGTGTAGCCACAGTGAGGTAGAGTTGGTGGCTGTGCGTTGCAGTCGTCGAGACAGGAGTTAGCCGCAAACAGATTTGCCAAGAGGTCGGCTTTATCTTGCGGCTTGTGGGCTAGATTGCCGTCAGAATATCTCAGCGGTGGCAGCGAGGGCTGGCAGAAGTTCGACGCAACGGCTCTGGCCAGACGCCAGTAGCTACGACTACCTGTGGGATGCGTCAAGAGTTCTTGGCCAACTCGTGCGACGCGCTGAGCATCCGCTCTGATGTACGCTCTTTTGCAAGACCTGGCGGCATTATTGTAGGCTGTTTTAAGTGAGTTCGTATTGGGATCGTCTGAAGCTAGACCCCTGATCCAAGCGCGGTATGCAGTCTGTTTGTTCTCAACAGCCACAGCACACTCGCGGTTGAACCAGCGGTTGCGCCTCCCTTTACTGACGAGATCCGAATGCGGGATGTAGTATTCCATCCCGATTAAGATCTCATCAGCAACGGCAGTCGCGCTAGCTGTTGGATCCACCTCACTAAAACAGCGCTGCCGCCAGGGAACGGATGCAAAATAGTCCCGCATACCGTCCCAATCTGCCGACGCATAATGCCAAATGCGGCGTTTAGCCACAGTAGGTGGTGGTGGCAGTAACGTTGCCACTTTAGTGGATATCAAGCAGTGATCCGAAGTGCCCAGGGGGGCTTGGACCACCACCCGATATCCAGCCGGGCGAGACGTCAGCAGAAGGTCCAACAAAGAGGGCGCGTCACCAACCCTATCTGGAATCCGGGTGGGTTGATTCACCAGTTGGGTTAAATAGTGTGTGAGAGCGAATGTGTGGGCAGTTCTTCCAGCATGGTCAGTTTTAGAGGAACTTAACCACGACTCGTGGTGAGCATTGAAGTCCCCTAAAAACACCAATTCCGCTGTAGGAAACTGCGCCTGCGCGTCATCTGCCGCCCGAGTAAGGTGGTCCATGAGACGAGTTGTCTCCATGTCGCCGTGGTGGGATCTGTAGAGGCACATGTAGACACGGCAATGACTGCCCAGGTCAACATGTACCCCAAGGATGGAGAAGGAGGGGTCCTCCAAATGACGCAGACGGCGACAGCAAACATCTGCCCGGACAAACAAGCAGACCCCAGCTTTCGCTTTGAAGGACTCTTCAAGCATATAGCCAGGGTAATTCAAGTAGCTGCTGTCAGCCGGGCAGAGTATTTGCGTCTCCGTAAGGAACAGCATTTCTGGTCGAGCCGTCTCAAGATGTTGATGGACGGCGTGGATGTTACTGTGGAGTCCTCGAATGTTCGTGAACTCCACCTTAAAGAGCGCTTTAGTGGTGGGGGTGCGCACCGCTGTACGACCGAAATTTGTACTTTGCGCTAACATGTTGGAGGGAGAAAGAGGCGTGAAGCGAGAAAACAGTGCCGCGACACAAGCGGTCAAATCGCGGGGCCTGCTTCCCCAGAGACTTGCCTACAGACAAGTTGCGCTGATCCGCCGGACGGAAGGGCCCCCGAACCCCCCCGGGAATGGCCGCCGGGACCCCACCTCCCGGTCACCAACCGGCACGACGAACCACACCGAGATTATGCGCGGCATGGTGAGGCAGCCTCACGAGCTGGTTAAGCACGCTTGGGCCCCTGTACTGTACCGCGGGCGGCCAGCGGAACAACCGTTTCTACGGGTCTCCCTGGCCGGCGGGTCAATGCAGTTGTCCTGGCACTGGTTCGGCGGAAGCCTCCACAGACCACAAATGTCGCGGCAGCGTTCCTTCGGGCTCTGGTTGTACGCTGACTGATCCCGGAACGCATCCGACTAGCGAATACTTGGCGGGTTTTCCATCATGCGCACGGTGGTCACTAACCAGGCGGGTTTTCAAGCCCTACCACCAGTGGAGCAGCTGGTTGCTCAATATCCCTTAGTCGCCTCTTACGACACCCACGGGAAGAGAGGGGCGGTGAATTGTATTCTAATCCGTCACCGCACGGTAAAAAATGCTTAATTAATACTTGTTACACATGCGTAATTATAAAAACTTTTCGTAAAAAAGTCACAAAACTTTGTTATTGTTATTTAGAAATACGTAGACTTAATTGGGAGGATATGATGGAGCCATCTCCGCCCAACATCTTCAGCGAAGTGCAAGATGCAAAGACTCTTACCGAACTCTAAAGACGAATATAGCGACGTATGGCAAGTACGCATTGTGATAAACGCAGAAACTGTGGGGATTTGCATACCGCTTAAACTACCTGTTTGCACTAACCTGTTTTCCGCCATAGTAAAACGTGGTAAAACGGTGTACTATATTTTCCGCGAATGTTCATCCTGTATTAGGTACCGTGTCTTAGACAGGGTTTGGAGTGATCATTATGATTATCACAATAAGTAACCAGATAAATATACCTCGATAATTACAAAATAAACCGAAACAAGAAAATGCTACCGCTGGCAATGCCGTATCATGTGTTTTTATCAGAGACGTATCCAAACGTGTCAAATGTCGATCTCAAAAAAATCACAAACCGAAGACTTTTCTTAGGCTCAACTCACACTGGCGCCGAAGCGTCGCGACGCGTCATATTTTTCGCCTATAGCATATTCATCTCCATTTTCCCTTCATTAAGGTACAAATTTATGTTATGCAAATATGACATCGCCGCCCGACCACACCAGACGTAGCACAAAATAGTAGTAGTTTTGAATTCGACAAGTATACGTCTTTTCTTCCATAACTCGTGAATTAAAAATTTTATTTTTCTCCCTTCAGAGTCTAATATAATTTTAGATTCTTCCTCTTCAGCTTCAGATATAAGAGCAATTATAATAAGATCGAAATCAACCGTTGTTTACTGTCGACTATGAGCGCCACTCACGATTGTTCAAAAGTCTCTGAACTGGTTCAGCACTGCAATACGAGCGCTAATCGTCGCATGCTAATCGATGCATGCGTTGTAGTTGAAAAACAGGACGCCACGCGACGCTTCGACTCTGCGCCAGTGTGACTTGAGCCTTAGTGTTTATTTAGTTTCCTCACTGTTTGTCAATATTAGTAAAAAATTAAAGAGACAAAAGTATGAATCAGCATGGATAATGATAATTATCAAAGAAAAGAAATATTTTGATAATTTTATGTATGAGCCATTCTGGGTCATGAAGAGTAGGAATGTTTCATCTCTATTCTTATCAAACGCGACGAATGCTACTCGGAATAACGCTTTTGTTATGGGTAGTACATACGGCATAATGTAAGAATCAAATGGTACTTACACTTCAGCCTTTCAGTCTTAGGTCCTCTGCAGGCGGCGCTAAGCCCACAGCACAGCTCTTTAAAGTCGACATGTCCGTCTCTGTTCTCATCGAACGCCAGGAACGCCCCAGTCACTGCCGCCCGGGGTAATGGAGGCGACAGCAATGGAGTCAGACTTTCCACGTCCAGTTGTCCCGTAGGCGCCGCGTTGCATAATGACCAAAAGCATTTTTCTAATTCAATTATGTCCTAAAAGAAAAAGTAAAGGTCAGTTTCCTTTAAGTTCGTGTTCGTTCAACCGACGTTTAAAATTGTATCGTCAAATAAGTAATATTCGACCAAATTAAAAGATGCATGATGCGAATGAAGCTTCATACTTGACATTATCAATTTTGATGAGGTCGAGTATTATTTATTTGACAGTAATTTGTTTCGGACGGATGTTCGATGGAGAACGGGAGTAGACCCTCTGATCAAAATACGAAAGTATCTTTATTTTTATTCAATGTGACGACGAAGGCTACTACTGCTCATTCGTAAGGCAGATTCCCCTGAGAATATACATATAACAAATTCTATGAGTGTTACCTTTAGAATATTTTTTTAACAAAAGGAGGAGGTTATCAATTCGACTGTATTTTTTTGTGTCTATGAAACGCGATTAGTCCGACCTTTGTGAACCGATTTTGAAGATTCTTTTTTTGTTGGAAAGAGGTTACCTTACTATTGGTCCAATTTAAATTTGAAGAAAATATTCCACCTCTAAGTGTGGCAAATTAGGAGACGAATCCGGTTTCGCGCAATTTCCGGTAACCTATTATAATAAAACTTGGGAAATAGATGTAATTCCACGAAGTTTTGAGGTCGGTTTTTTTTTTATTTGTTTCACAGTTCTGTAGATAAGAATTAACGAACCATTAGCGCCAGATAGTATTTTTTTTACTACTTACAGAGAGTTTTAATTGGAATGAGGCTCTTAATTATTATTGGCATTTCAAATCATTCTTAAGACTAAAATGTCGTTGAAAGACCAAGTACAAAGACACGACGCAAGCGCATAGAAAAATTTGTAAGGTCCGTTGGTTCGTTCCGTGGCTTAGTTGGTATAGCGTCTGGCACGGTATGCAAGAAGACGTCGGTTCGAATCCGACCGGATCGAAGGAATTTTTTTGAATGTTCGATCTTTGTATTAATAATTATAACCAACTAGTGGAGTAATTTCACAAAAAATAATTGAATATCAATTCAATAAAAATTTAATCATTCTTAAGGTCAAATAAAAAACAAACGACGATAGGACTTACTGTCGTTTACTGTTGCGTGATTTTTAGCATTCTAAAGCAATATTTGTAAAAACATCTAAATTTCAAAATAAGGGCTTATCGTCCTTTACTTCTCACCTAAAGAGTTTTAAATCACGTGAACGGCAAATATATCAAAGTACAAAAACTATACTCACGGCGTACAGAAACGACACACGGTTAGATTTATAGAAAAATATGTGTAAAAAAAAACACAATGGCATGTGTCGCTTTATTGCGGATACTGGCAATTATGGAGTAAAAAAGTGTAAGTTTGTGAAAAAATGTAGGTTAGTGCAAAATATTTGTGTGTTTTGTATTTAATGTTAATCACTCAGAGAATAATTTAAAACTGACCACGCAGGGATCGCGCACGAGTATGATGATATTTACTTTGACAGAAAATCTGACAACAATCTTATTAGGATTTTCAATGATTTTCACACTATTAAAAATATCTTTTATAAGTACATCAAATTTCTATTGCCCTGTTTATGTTAACCCCTTACATTTTCAATTTTTTTTTTACATAAATTAAAAGGTGGTTTATAACTGCACAATTTAAAACTAAAGTGGCTCTTGTACGCATACATCCAATAACCGGGTCAGATTATGGGCCATGATCTTTTGAATCAATTAATGGTAGGTATGAATGTGGAGGGATATAGGGGGAGATAAGGCCAAAGAAAAGATTGATGGATTGTGTGAAAGATGACATGGATAAGAAACGTGTGAATATGGAAATAACGGCTGATATAGGGAAGATCCCCACCTAGCGTGGTATAAGGACAGGAAGAAGAGAGATCTTTTGAATCAATAGGAATCCTATTATGAAAACGCATACATTGCTCCTTTAATGAATTTGTGTCTTTCTGAAGACAACTGTCAAGAACGGCCAGTTTATTATTAAACCTCGTATTATGTGTACCTCTATTTTTTATGAAAAAAAAAAAATCTATTCTTTCTTCTTAACGTTAATAACACTTCATAAACGTGGAATAATGCACGTGTCAGAATGTCAATTTGTTTAAACTTCTCTAATGTCGTAACTAACATAAGATAAATAGCACTTCGCATTGTGAGCTGTAACTAGTGTCAATTTCATCCAGTCAATGAGTTATATCTTCGTATGAGTGCCGTACCCAAGATCGAAATTCATTTGGTCGATTAACGTGAGGTCGAATGAATGTTAGATTATTCTGTTACTGATCGAATAAACGAATGACCCAATCAAGTTTAATCGAAAGAACTTTGTGTTATTGATCGAAAACATTATCTGTCGATGTGACGTTTGGTCGAATGAACGACAGATCTTCCTTTTGGTGATCGAATTAATCATTTATCGATTAACGTTATGTCAAAAGAACCGTAGGTATTGTAGTGCGAAACTACGGACCCCTATCATCTTCATCTCTCATTATACGTTTTCTAGGAAACGCCCTTACTTTTCCTGATTTCTGAAATAGTTCCAACTAATACTGCATTAGCAATTGTTTTAATTTAATTTTTGTTTTTTTATAGTTATTATTATATAATTATTTATTTTAGACCCTCGCTTCTCCGAGGGCCTAAAAGATTAATTTTGATTTGTGATTATTATTATTGTTCCTCTGTTGTTTTGCTTATATACATATGTGTCTGTGCTTGTGTAATAAACAATTTTCTTTCTTTCTTTAATATTTACTATAATATGAGTGTCTAAATTACTTAATTTTCTTTCTTTAGTTGTTATCCGCTCCAGATGAGAAAGAAAATTTTTGACCTACGCTATAAAAATATGAAAAAAGGTAGCCATACGACGATTACTGGCGAATGCTTTATTGAGGTCGTACGTCTGTTACGACTAAAATGTCAGATACGTTAGTTATTGCCTCCGCAGACCGCAGACTTTTAATCGGCCAATAGTTTAGTCGGGTTGGGCTGCTAGCGCGCACACTGGGCCGACTAAACAGTCTGCTTGGTGGTGAGCAGACCAGCAAACTGTCGGCCGATTTCTCTTGAAAAATTTTGGTAGTCGGTAAGCTGCTCTTGAAGGGAGCGATTGCGTAAGGAAAATGAAATTGTCTAGAAATGTTATTATTGCTTTTATACAACGGAGGAAAAGTATTGTGTGCATCCTATCTACGTGATATATTATTACAAGGAAAATTTTACATGATGCATTCCAAATTATTAGTCTTCCCAATAAAATATTTCGCCTCTAATGAGCGTAACTAGCTTCAATGAACTTATCAATTGCTGTATCTCCGAGTGAAGTTTTGTTTTTATAACATCAAGTGAAGGTATCGCCCGAGTCGGCCGACTAAATGATCGGCAAATGTGCGCGATTGGAAGAGCGCCGTACTGATTAGCAGTCGGCCGATAGTTTGCCGACAGAAAAGTTTGAAGGCAATCGAGCAGCCCATCAAGCTTTTTATCTGCCGATACCGAATCGTCATAATGTGCGCACTTGCATACGTCTTCCTACTGATTAAGGACCCGACTAAACTATCGGCCGATAGAAAGTCTATAGTGTGCGGGGACTCTTAGAGAGAGGGCAGGGACGATACGATATCTTTTTATTTTATTTATTTCAGACATTAGACGGCGTTTCTTAAATAGTATGTAACAAAATAAAAAATACTGTTTGTTAGTAAAGCCTGTAACAGATCGCTCCTTTCACGATTCTGTCTCAGAAGGTTCAATTTCTCACTAACAGTTCAGTACAAACATATTTAATAAAAACACATAGGAAAATTTCGACAACTCGATAACTTCACCCGTAGCTCAGTTGGTAAGAGCAATACTACGGTGCAGTACGGTCGCGGGTCAAGTCCCACCGTGTTGAAAAAGTTTTTCTACGTGTTCCATTTTTGGATTAATAATCATAATATATACTCAAAACCTTTCACATTCTCTCTCAATTTAGTGGTCACCTTAGAGTGAGAAAAATATACACCCTTTTCACTGTACTAAAACTACATAAGTCCCTTACTTTTAACCCATTGCTCATGTCCCGTAGACGGAATTACATCGTTGCAATTGGTTGAGGCAATTTCCAAATCATTGTTTGCTGATAGGCCATTTGTAGTGAATTCGGCACGTATGTATAATATTATAACAAAAAAATAAACATTTACCATCTACAGTGGCATAATTGTAAAAAAGCTTTGACAAATTGGTTGGTGTGAATTAACTATGATGAAACGGAGAATATTCCACATTTAATGTACCCATATCATTTTTACTAGTATTATTATTATCCCATGAAAAACTATCTCATTCTATACAAATTCTTCAATTTGTAATAATTTTTAGTACATTATGGCTACTAGTAGCAGTAGAGCTCCTTGTGAAAGAGTTGGTCCAGGGAAGTACTGCCATCTAATCGATTTCTGCCGCCAAGCAGTAATGTCAGCATTACTGTGTTCCGGTTTTGAAGGGTAAGGGTGACAGGCGCAGTGGCAGTGTGCCTCAGATCTTTGGGATTTAAAGAGCTGAGTGGCGCTGTAACTGTTATGGACAGGCGTGTAGTTTACTGTCACGCGCACGACAGAAACCTAATTAAGGTTTATTTCTGTATACTAAAGAATATTGTAAGAGCGGGCCTTACTAATACAGGTTGACTAGGATGATCCAATTGTAAACTCTAATTTAAGTTTTGATAAAAAAATAAAATCTAATTTCATATTTCAATATCCACTTTTCTTTATAAATAGTTCAAAAATAAAGTTTTTCGACATAATAATGTAAATTACCGTTGTCAGATCGATTCAATGGTCGTTTGGACGTCAAAATAATTATTATCTCCGAATTATTGTCGTGATTCACGTATTTGCTGGATAAGTGCTATCTGTAATAAGTACCGAAGTATGACGTAGTATTTTAAACCTGCTATGATTTAGATTGTGTTGTTGTTTAGATCTATTATATGTTATTCACCTTTCTATTAAGAAAATTTCAATTTTG